TCTAGGAATTTTCTAGCTCAGCCGCTTGGCAAACAGAACATAAAGACTGGGAGACATTTCTACGGTCTGCTTCATGGCTTCCTAATATACTCCTCCTCCATTCTTCCTCAGTTCTGCCTTGGAGAAAAGAAAAATAAAGACACAGCTGTCATTGGCCAAAAAATGAAAGATCGCCTTTCTGTAGAGAAAGTGCTTTTCTCTACAAAATATACTCAGCCATTAAGGATGTTCATGGCTAGTGAAAAAAATAAAATAAACTACTTTTCGTTAAAATGGAAAATCACGAAACTGCGTTTCACTTATTTTGGAGATGCCGTGAGGAGGAATTCGCTACAGAAAGCAATTCTGTTTGGAAAAGTTAGCGGTAAAAGGAAACCAGGCCATCAAAGAACACGGTCAATGGGCATCATCAAAGTTGACCCCAGAGAATAGAATAACTGAAAGAAGTAATGCAAGATCGGAAGACGTGGAGAGACCTTGGCCGATAGAATTGGCAAGAATGGGACACAACTGAATGGATATCATCATCATCATCATTAAAATTGTTAAGACAGTGTATTTTGGTTAGCATAGGTAGTCCTCGATTTATGACCACAATCAAGTCCAAAAGTTCTCTTGCCAAGAGAGACATTTGTCAAGTGAAGTTTTGCCTCGTTTTACGACTTTTCTTGGCACATTTAAGTGAATCGCTGCAGTTGTTAATTTAGTAACACGGTTGTTACTAAACCCTGTTGTTGTTGTTACACTGTCAACCCTGAAGCCGATCTGACTGAAGCCGTCTTGGAGCTTCAGTGTTGCCACATTGGATCTTAGGGAGGGGGATTAGAGATAGCTGGGATTTTATAGCCAAAACAAAATACTTTCTCTTGGGAACCAAGGACATTCTCACAGCTGGTCGGTGAGAGGAGGAGTGATGTTACCAGGCAACCAGATGGCACTTTGATTGGACCACGTGACTGATTGTTTGGGGTTGAGGGAAAACTTTCACTTTTAATTAGGTGAAAACCGTGGGAACCTTCAGTGTTGGTTTTCACCAGATCTGTGCCAATGTCATATATCCAATAAAGCTATTCTTTGAGGAATCCACCTGCCTCGGAGTTTTGCTTGCTATGGGTCTATTACTTGGAACCCATTGACTTTGCTTATCAGAAGGCAGCAAAAGGTGATCACATGACATACACCCGGGGATGCGGTAACCGTCATAAATATGAGTCAGTTGCCGAGCATCACAATTTTGATCAGAATTTTGATCATGGGGATGCTAAGTGTGAAAAATCATCATCAGGGCTGTTGCAATTTCGAATGGTGACTAAATGAACTCTTGTTAAGTCGAGGACTACCTGTACACGGCGCCCTGTAAATACTTTTCCGTGGGTCATAAAAAGTTGCCACCGATCTTCCCAACCGCTGAAGAGTAACCTGGGAGAACGTAAAGGTTTACCAAAGTCGATTTTATCCCTGTTGTTCGCAATGGCGTGAATGAGGCCGATGGTTCCGCAGGCGTTGCTAATGGTCTGCTTCATGAAATAAACACCGGGTTTGACTTCTTGGCCCTGCGCTTTGATCGTCTCTTCCTCTTTCATCCGGAAAGTTTCATACTAGGCAGTGAGGAAGGGGGGGAAAAAAATACTTTTTTTTTTCAAATTCCCCTTTTCAAAGTATCCATTTTTACAAAATAAACAGTGCTCGGAAAGTTGAGAGTTCAATCCTAGGTAGCAGCAGATATTTTTCTCCTAGAGCGCAAAAAAAAAAAAAAAAAATATCTGCTGTGAACTCCACATAGGTGTCAGGAAGGGCATCCGGCCAGTAAATGCTCAGTTGCATCCAGTCTACCCTGAATTAAAGGATTACAGGTTGTAAAAAGGAAGGTTTTTTTTTTTAAATCAACTAGAAGGTTCTGCAGGCCTTGCAATGCCCTCCCTTGATTTGCACCTGAAATGCCCACCAAATGCACATTTCTCTTACCTTCCTTGTGATGTGCAGCCTTGCTACAAAAAAAAATATTTTGCTTTCCAGAACACTAGAAAAAAGACCATTTTTAACAATTCAGTTTCTATGGAGGGCAACACGCTGAAAGACTGTGGACCATTAAAAAAAATTGCCTTTCCCTGTGCTTAGCAGTCTTTAAAGCCACTCTTCTGCCAATTACCCAAAACTTTTGAGAAGGCTGCAAAGGAAGGATGTCCCAGGGCCCCACCTGAATATGGTATCACTTTGAAGATGCTGAAAAAGGCTTTAAAGGGAGAACATTTAAAAGGGGGAAATGTCCCTTTTTTTGCAAGCATGGCTTCCTGCAAACAAGAAAGTCTCAAAGTCCAAATACAGGTAATTCTTGATCTACGATCGCCACTGAGCCCAAAATTTGTATTGCAAAACAAGGCAGTTAGTTATTAAGTGACTTCTGTCCCATTTTATGACCCTTCTTGCCACAACTGTTAAGTGAATCACTGTCATTGATTACTTTGTAACACAGTTGTTAAGTGAATCAGGCTACCCTGTTGGCTTTGCTTGTCAGAAGGTCGCAAAAGGTGATCACTACGACCGTCATAAATATGATTCAATTGGCAAGAGTCTAAATTTTGATTGCATCACCATGGGGATGCTGCAACGGTCGTTAAGTGTGAAAAATGGTCATAAGTCCCCTTTTTGCGGTGCCATTGTATCTTCGAACGGTCACTAAATGAATAATTGTAAGTCGAGGACTATCTGGTACTGCTTCCCTGCGGACTTCTTCATCATCCAGAGGTAGCTGGACTACAACTCCCAGAATGCTCAGCAGCTCTGAAGCTGGAGGGGAATCCCGAGGTGGGTGGATGGGCATCTGGCTGTGCAAAATGGATGGAGGGTGGGGTGATAGCGGAGCATTTGACACCCCCAAACGAAGAAACCCTCGGAGGTCTCCTGCTTGAGCAGGGGGTACGACTAGAAGACCTCTAAGGTTCCCTTCCAGCTCTATTCTGACTGTACTGTACAGGTACAGTTCAACTGTTCAACAGTTCACTTAGTGACTATTCAAAGTTACAGCGGTACTGAAAAAGTGACTTATGACCATTTTTCAGTTATGACCATTGCAGCATCCTCCGTGGTCATGTGATTCACATTCAGATGCTTGGCCACTGAATCCCATTTATGACGGTCGCTGGGTCACGTGATTCCCCTTTTGCGACTTTCTGACCTTCTCACTTAACGCCTGTGTGCAAGAAAAGTCGTAAAATGGGGCAACACTCACTTCAAACAGATTTCTCCTTTAGCAACCTAAGGGCTCAAGTTGTGGCCTGTAAGTTGAGGACTTCCTGTATTGAGATCTTCTTTTGAAAGGGGAGCTTGTTCCACGCGGGTGGGATAGAGCCCCCGGTTCCACCTACCTTCTCGGTGACCGGAAAGAGCAGCATCAGGGCGCAGACGGGCCGGGGCACCAAGCCCAACAGCTCAGGGTCGGAGCCATAGACGTCCACGAACTGCCAGCTGGGGTAGATGCCCAATTGCCGGAGGAACTGCCGGGAGACAGACAGACGGACGGGCACTGCTTCCTCTTCCTCCTCCACTGCCCATGCCGCCCTCTTCTTCCTCCCTCCCCCCACCCGGGAGACCCCCGACCTGAGGGGGATGAGGACCCTGGAGAGACGGTGGAGCAGCTCACCTGGTTCGTTACCTGCAAGCCAGAAAGAGGGGAAAAGAGGGTCACTCTGAGACAGGACACGAGCAACCATCCACGCACCCATGCGCCCCCCATCCCTCCCTCTCACTCACTCACCCACCCACACACCCCCCCCCCCATCCCTCCCTCCCTCACCAATCCACCCACCCATCCCTCCCTCTCACTCACCCACCCACCTACACGTCCCCCCAGCCCTCCCTCCCTCCCTCACACACACACACACACACTAAGCCCTCCCTCTCTCACCCACCCACACGCCCCCCCATCCCTCCCTCTCACTCATCCACATGCCCCCCATGCCTCCCTCTACTCACACACACCCCAAGCCCACCCTCTCTCTCACACACCCACACGCCCCCCATCCCTCCCTCTCACTCACCCACCCACATGTCCCATCCCCCTCTCACTCACACACACACACCCCAAGCCCTCCCTGTCACTCACACACACCCCAAGCCCTCCCTGTCACTCACACACACCCCAAGCCCACCCTCTCTCACACACCCACACGCCCCCCATCCCTCCCTCTCACTCACCCACCCACATGTCCCATCCCCCTCACTCACACACACACACCCCAAGCCCTCCCTGTCACTCACACACACCCCAAGCCCACCCTCTCACTCACACACATGTCCCTCTCCCTCCCCCACCCACCCACCCTCCCCATCCCTCCCTCCCTTCCTCCCTCACACACACACCCATCCCTCCCTGTCACTCATCCACCCACACGCCCCCCCCATCCCTCCCTCTCACTCACCACCCCACCCCACCCCTCTCACTCACCCACATGCCCCCCATTCCTCCCTATCTCACCCTCCACGCCCCTATCCCTCCCTCTCAACCACCCACACGTCCCCCCATCCCTCCCTCTCACTCACACACCCATGCGCCCCCTGTCCCCTCCCTCCTACCCACCCACCCGTCCCACCCACCCACGCACCACCCCCGTCCCGTCCTCCCACTCTCCAATCCATGCTCCCCCTCCGTCTTTCCTTCCCACTCACTCACCCACGAAGCCCCTCCGTCCCTTCCCTCCCTCCCTCCCTCCCTCCCACTCTCGCGCCCCCTCCGTAACCCACCCACCCACCTCGGGGTTCGCCTCCAGCGGCAGCCAGCGCGGAACCTCCATGGCAGACCGGCTGTTTCCCTTCGGTCTCGCCCCGCCCCGGCCGTACCAATACCGAAGCTCGGGGAGGAGGCGGGGAGGGCGGAGTCACACACATACTCACACACCCCCCCCGGCCGCGTGGGCTATTCCGAGCCGCGTGGAGGCGGGGCTGGTGGGAGGGGCCAAGCGGCGAGCCACGCCCCTCCTCCTCCTCCTCCTCTTCCTCCCCCGCCCCTTCCGATCGGCTGGAATCGCAGCTTCCGCGATGCAGCCCGCAATGCCGGGGGGAGCCTGGGCTGCTGCCCCACTGGGGACCCTCCCGCAGGACCTGCTGGCGGAGCTGGTGAGCCCCCCTCCCCTTCCTTGCAGAGCCCAGACCTTAGAGGGGTCTTCCCCTTCCCCCCCTTTTTTGCTGCCAAGGATCTGGGTGGGAGAGGCTTTGGAGCGTCCTTTTGGGGTCCCGGGACCCCCAACAGCCTCCTCTTCTCGGGGTCTGCAGGAGAGGGAAGGGGGGAAGGGTCTCTACCTGCCTTCTTTCCGCAGTGCCAGCGAGCCGTGCAGCGGTTGCAATCCGGGAGTGTCTCTTTGGATGCCTCCCAGATGTGCCAGGTGAGCGGGTCGGCTAAGGCAGGGGGTCTCCAACCTGGGTCACTTTAAGACTTGTGGACTTCAACTCCCAGAATTCCTCAGCCAGTTTAGCTGGCTGAGGAATTCTGGGAGTTGAAGTCCATAAGCTTAGCTGGCTGAGGAAATCTGGGAGTTGAAGTCCACAAGCTTAGCTGGCTGAGGAATTCTGGGAATTGAAGTCCATAAGTTTAGCTGGCTGAGGAATTCTGGGAGTTGAAGTCCATAAGCTTAGCTGGCTGAGGAAATCTGGGAATTGAAGTCCATAAGCTTAGCTGGCTGAGGAATTCTGGGAGTTGAAGTCCATAAGCTTAGCTGGCTGAGGAAATCTGGGAATTGAAGTCCACAAGCTTAGCTGGCTGAGGAATTCTGGGAGTTGAAGTCTACAAGTCTTAAAAGTTACCAAGATTGGAGACCCCTGGGCTAGGGGCCAGAGTGGGGAGTGGGTGAAATGGGTGGGTGGGCTATCGAAGGACTGGCCCTCCCACAGCTGCTTTTCTCTTCTAGAGGTGCCACGCGGCCGGTGTGGAAATAACCCAAGCTGACCTGTGCCAGGTGCTCCGGACCCTCACCTGGCTTTTTGGGTAAGTCTCCTCCCTTCCTTCTCTGCCAGCCAATTGTCCCTGCCCCTTATTTTGGGCCATTGGACCTTTGAGGGAGGGTGAGGAAGGTAGGCACACTCCCACCAAAGGAGAGTGGGAGGGCGGGGAAGATTGATACAAATTGCTGGGGAAAAAAATATTATTTAAGAGGTCAATTTGATTTAGTTTGGTTTTTGGGTGGGTGGGTTGGGTTTGTCTTACAGCACAGCAGCGAAAAATAAACTCACCGCCGAAGAATTTTCCGCCGAATTAGGCAAAAGGTTCGGATTTCTGCCGCAACCAACTGGCCAGGTCATCCAACAGGTGTGGAAGGAGAAAAGAGAATCCCTGTTGGGATGGGAGGATGAAAAACCTGTGGTGGCAGCCGGACAGGTAAGGAAGACAGGAAATTAAAAATGCTACGTATCAGATGGGTCTCCTTCGTTGCTCCTGTGCTCACCGTCAGTGAGCTGTTGGACAGCATTACTTGGTCTGTTGTGTGGATGTTTGGGTGGTTTAAGGGTGGGGAATTGTGGTGGGTGGGAGTGTGTTTGGGGATTGTTATGTGTGTTCGACCTGGTCTTTGGGTGTTAAGTGAATTTCGTTGTATGGGTATACTGTGTATTCACGTACAATGACAATAAAGTTATTATTATTGTTATTGTTGTTATTATTCCCCCAACAACTGCCCTGTTTGGGCCCCAAACCTCCTAGGGATCTTCCCTGGTGGAAGGTGAATTATAACCTGTGCCTTCCCAGTCTTGTTCCAACACTACAGGTAGTCCTCGACTTACAACAGTTCCTTTAGTGACCGTTCAAAGTTACAGCGGCCCTGGAAAAAGTGACTTAGGGCCGTTTTTCACACTTAACGGCCGTTGCTGCATCCTTACAGTCACGTGATCAGAATTCAGACTCTTGGCAACTGACTCGTATTTATGACCGTTGCATTATCCCTGAGGTCATGTGATCACATTTTGTAACCCCCTGCCAAGCAAAGTCAACGGTGAAGCCAGATTCACTTAACAACCGTGTCACTAACTGGACAACTGCAGTGAATCACTTAACAGCTGCGGCACGTAAAACGGGGCAGAATTCGCTTTTTTTTTTTTAATTTGATTTATATGCCACCCTTCTCCGGAGACTCAGGGCGGCTTACAATGCGTTAAGCAATAGCCTTCATCCTTTTGTATATTCATACAAAGTCAGTTTATTGTCCCCACAAACTGGATCCTCATTTAACCTACCTTAGAAAGGATGGAAGGCTGAGTCAACCTTGAGCCTGGTAAGATTCGAACCTGCAGTAATTGCAGGCAGCTGTGTTAATAACAGGGTGCTTTAAACCACTGTACTACCAAGGCTCTTCCTTGAGACTTAACAAATGTCTCACTTAGCAACAGAAATTTGGGGTTCAATTGTGGCCGTAAACCGAGGACTTCATCCCATAATCCCTGACCCTCCTGCCTTCCTAGAGGAATAGCTCCAGCTGGGCCTAGAGACCTTGAGGCTTTTCACTGAGTTTGAGAATCTAGACTTTTATAATCATGTTTGATTATTTTGTACAAAAATGCCATCTCTTCTGAAATTGAACCCGTCAAATATTGAAAAGCAACAGGCCAGTGTGGAAAAGATTATTTTCCAATTTCATCCCCAGAACTACAATCCTGTGATTTAAATTAACTTACTGCACCTGTGTATGGTTTGCCAATTGCACAGTGGCAGATAGGACAGCACTCCAGAGGGTCAACATCATTGCCCAGAGGATCATTGGTGGACCTCTCCCCTCTTTGGAAGAGCTTTATAGCTCCCGCTGCCTTAAGAAAGTTCAAAACATTCTCAAAGATCCATCTCATCCTGGGCACCCTTTTTTTGAACTGTTACCATCTGGCAGACGGTACAGGATAATAAAAACAAATAGGCTGAAAAACAGATTCTATCCCAGGGCAGTAACTATATTGAATTCTACAGTATAGTACAATATTAATGCAATATCGGGTTTTCAATTTCAATTATATGGAATGTAAAGGATGTGTGTTTGTGTTTTTATTTTTATAATTATAATGTACACTGAAGATGGCATTTAATTTCGTTGTACGATGTGCAATGACAATAAAGTAAAGTAAACTAAATTGGTCCGATAGTGTAGGGACTAAATCCTCAGATGAGGTTGAAGATCTCGGAGTAGGTCACTCCGCCTCCTCCATTGATGGTGATTCAACTGCAAGTATAGGCAGTCCTCGATTTACAAGTTCGCTTAGTGACCATTCAAAGTTACTGAAAAGTGTGACAATAATTCTTTTTCACAGTTACCACCTTTGTAGCATCCTCATGATCATGTGATCAAAACTCAGATGCTTGGCAACTGGTTGGTTTATTTATTTATTTATTTATTATCTATGATCGCTGCTTATGTAACCTCCTGGCAAGAAAAGTCAATGGGGAAGCTAGATTCACTTAACAATCGGGTTACTAACTTACCAACTGTGGCGAGTCACTGTGGCACGGAAGTTTTGTAAAATGCAACAAAACTCACTGGACAAATGTCTCGCTTAGCAACCGAAACGTTGAGCTCAATTGTGGTCGTAAGCCGAGAGCCGCCTGTATCTCAAATGTTCATTTCTTCCCTTTGTAGCTGGTTGATTTTCAGTGGAAGCTGGGAATCGCCATGAGTGCTGACAGCTGTAAATCCTTGAAATCTCCTTGTGTTACGGTGGCGTTAAAAGTTGCGGATGGTTTGGGGAACGTCAGGTGCAAAAGCTTTGAAATGACAATCTCTCAGTTTCAGGTTGGTAAACGGTCCTTCCTGCTCTCTGCTCTTTTGGAAAACCGTGGTCCATTGAGTAGTTGAACGTTTTGTAGCAAAAATGGCTTCTGTTAGTTGAAAGTCTACGGAGATTCTCAGTCATCCAGGTCACGGTTGTCCCAAAGGTGCTTCTTCAAGAGGCAACTGGACTTTCTGGATTTTCTTTAAAGACATTTCGCTTCCCATCCAAAAAGCTTCTTCAGCTCCGATTGGATGGTGAGGAATGGAAGGATTTATATTCCTTGCAGCAGGGTGGATTTGATTTAAATCGAGTTGATTTAAATCACGATTTAAATCATGATTTAAATCACTAGTAAAAAGGCTTGATTTAAATCAACTCGATTTAAATCATAATTTTTGAAGAGCAACTGTCATCTCTGCTACTCCTTTGACCCAACTGTTGACTCACCGATGGTCTCAGTGTTGCAGAATATACAGCCTCATGCTACATAACTAAGCTCCATTTCATGCTGAATAAACTAAATTATTTATGTATCTTAAATAGAAAACTATCTTACGATAGATTTTTACCCCAAAAGTTTTTTATTAAAATAAATTCGATAAAAATCAAAAAAATCCAATTTAAATTTAAAAAAATCCAATTTAAATCAAAAAAATCTGATTTTTTTGATTTTTTTAAAAAAATCATTGATTTTTATCCACCCTGCCTTGTAGACAGTTGATCATTTGCATTCTTTGAGCAAGTCATTCAGGCCGCTTGGAGGTTTATCTGTGTTTTCAGGATCACCTGAGCAATGCCTGTATCTCAAACTGAAGTGCAAATGATTCCTGTAGTCTGCATTTTTTTTCTTTTTTTTTAACCTTTTACCATTCAGACTCTCACACCATTTGAAAAAGCACCTGTGGGACTTGAACGCAGTTGTGGTGGGGTTCGCAATGCGGCGCGTTGAGTTTAAGGCGAACATGCTATAACTCAGGATTGGTGCAGTGGCCTAGAGGTGGAGCTCTCGCCTCATAATCAGGAGGCTGTGAGTTCGATCCTAGGTAGAGGCAGATATTTATCTCTCTGGGCACAATGAGAATATATCTGCTGAACAAAACTCCGCATTGGCGACAGGAAGGGCATCTGGCCAGTAAACACTCTGCTAGCTCCATTCAGTTGCCCAGACTCCACCCCCGCAGGGGATTAAGGGGTCGTTAGATGATGATGATGATGCTGGTATAACTCAGTCCTTGGGTGGCTGCCTAAAGAAAAATGAGGTGTGTGTTGACCATATATGCACGTGTGGCACCCTGCAGCACATTGCATCTCTAGAGTGAGATTCTGAGCGTGAGCAAACAGGGCCAAAGCCGATGCCACTTTATTTCTCTTTTGTTTTTCCCCCTTCAGAATTTCCACAGCCAATTCAAGGAGATGGCAAGCGTTCTTGAGACATTTTAAACCACTGCAGTCCAGCCTCCCCTTGCCTCCTAAAAGATCTTTCTACGGAATGATTCTCCAGCAAGAGATGTCAAGGTTTATTCTTCTCTTGGGGTTTCCACCATGACTTTCTCCAGCTGAAGAGCTGCAAACTTCTCCTGCTTTGAGTGAAATTCTCCATACGAGTCCTCCTCCTGAAAGGGACCTCCTGTTTCACCCCAGAATTTAGGTGGAACCTATCTCAGCCTCTCAGAAGAAGACCGGAGGAGTGGCTGCATAGGAGAAATAAACTCAATCGTGTCCTGACAACTACCCAAGATATGCCTTACTTTAAGGTCTTAGTTCTCCCCATCTCTGCAACTAGAACAATATTGGGAAAGCAATGGTGTCATCACCATCTAGAACTCTGCATGGAAAATCCTATGGATCTAGAAGGCAGCCTTCAATTCCTTAATAAAAGGATGGGAAACGTGTGAGGCTGTTCTTTGTGTCTCTCGGCTGCCTTCGTTCTGCCAACTTTGGGTTGGGTGTTTCACACTGAAGGTAAGGACCCTTCTTAATCACTGGTCCAACCTGGTGTATCAGACTTAAGTCAATTGATCAGATTTTATTGAATAAACCACATTGGTCAGGTTACAAACTACCCTAACCCCAGACATAGAAAGCCAGTTTGGTGTAGGTGGCCGACTAGAACCTGGCTGAGCATGAGTTCTTTTTTATTATTATTATTATTATTATTATTATTATTATTATTATTATTATTATTATTATTATTATTATACATATTTTTAAAAAACAAAAAGAAAGCTTTAACACATTTTCTGTTTCAACAGTTTCGCATCAGTCAAAAATGTCATACTTATAGATTTTTTCCTCCCTTATCTCTACTATACCTTTTATATTTATATTATTTATTAAATTTATATCCCGCCCTTCTCCCCGAAGGGACTCAGGGCGGTGAACAGCCAAGAATTAAAATAACATACAATATAAAAGTTAAAATAATTAAAAATAAATTAAATTAAACGTCCGCCCCAATTTAAAACCCCTAGCAATACAATTAAAAAACCCCTAAAACCTATTCAGGCCAGGCCGGCTTGCTGAAATAAAAACGTCTTCAGGGCCTTACGGAAAGTGCGGAGATCCGGAATCAGCCGTATTCCGGGAGGTATTTTATACATATACTTCTTATATTTATTTATTTATTTACATATATACATAACAATACTTGTGTACCCACTTTTATTTCTACAGTTTTTCTTTCCTCATATGGATGAGCATGAGTTCTAGTCCTGCCTTTGGCACAAAACCAGCTGGGTTACCTTGGGCCAGCCCCTCTTAGGAAGGAAGGAAGGAAGGAGAGAGAGGGAAGGGAGGAAGGAATGAAAGAAAGAAGGAGGAGGAGGGAGGGAAATGAAGGAAGGAGAGGGAGGGAAGGAAGGAAAGAAGGATGAAGGGAAGGGAAGGGAGGAAGGAAACGAAGGAGAGGGAGGGAAGGGAGGTGTCAAGTTTCCAAAAGATGCCCTAATTAATTCATGAGCCATGATCCAAACTTCAAAGGAAATATAGTCATTTATTAGGAGCAACATTCCGGCAATACTCGGATGCAGTTAGGACTGATCCCACGTAGATTTACCTTCCCCTATGACCCTGTCTCTCCCCTCCTCTCTGGCCATGTCATAAATCACATTCTCCAATTAACCACTTTGGCTGGCTGTGAAACCTAACGCCCTCCTCCTGATTGCGGTCAGAAAGAATGTATGGAATTCACTTCAGTTCTCCCTCCCTCCTGCTCATGGCAACTTGAAAGCTTTGCAAGTTGACAGGAGGAAGGAAGAAAAGGAGGAGGAAGGGAAGGGGGGAGGGAGGGAAGGAAGGAAAGGAGAAAGGGAGGAAAGAAGGAAGAAAAAGGAGGAAGAGAGGAGGGAAGGGAGGAAGGAAGGAGAGGGAGGGAAGGAAGGAGAGGGAGGGAGGGAAGGAAGGAAGGAAATGAAGGGAGGGAAGGGAGGAAAAGAGGAAGGAGATGGAGGAAGGGGGAGAGGGAAGAAAGGAAGGGACAACCTGAGGAGCCTGATTGGAGTAGGAGGCTAATGCCTCCTACTAAGGCAGCATTTAACATCCAGCTGCCTGCAATTTCTGCGAGTTCAATTCTCACCAGGCTCAAGGTCGATTCAGCCTTCCATCCTTCCTAAGGTGGGTAAAATGAGGACCCGGTTTGTGGGGCAATAAGCTGACTTTGTATAAAATATACAAAAGTATGAAGGTTATTGCTTAACGCATTGTAAGCCGCCCTGAGTCTCCGGAGAAGGGCAGCATATAAAAATAAATTAAAAATAAAAAATAAAAAATAAAACCAACTCCTGAAAAACCTTGCCAAAAATGGCCCAGGCAGTTGTCAGGAGACACCACTAATTCAACAGAACAAAAGGGGGATAAAAGAGTATACGTTTTTGTATAATCACCGGTGTGGTTTTTTTAATAACGGTTAACTGAAAAAGAAATTGTTTGGCTGACTGCATCTATGCTGCCAAGGAAAAGGTTCCCTCTGTCATTGACCTGCTGTCCCCCTTGAGTCATTTCCACCAAACGGGTTGGGGAGAAGAAATTTTCAAGGTGCAAGAGAGCATCTGTGTGTTTTTAGAAAAGCAGAAGCTCTATTCTTGTCACGAGTTTTTTTTTTCCCCCCATGAACCATAAATAAACCGCCTGCCGAAAGCCAAGATTTTGATCAGCAGCTGATGTGACTGGTAGGAGGGGGCTGGGCAGGCAGTAGTTTTGAGTTGCTGCAACAAGCAGGCAGACCCTTCAAAGGTGTCTCTCCCACCCACCACCCACCCCAGTCCTGGGCAAGTGTCCCAACAGCTTTGTCATGCTCCTCACCATTTAAATCAGAGCTCTTCAAACTTGGCAACTTTAAGACTTGTGGACTTCAACTCCCAGAATTCTCCAGCTGTGCTGGAGAATTCTGGGAGTTGAAGTCCACAAGTCTTAAAGCTGCCAAGTTTGAAGACCTCTTGATTTAGATGCAAAATTCTCTGGGCTGGCAGTTTCTCCTCGGTTTCCCTTGAGAACAACTTCCGCAGGCAGCAAAAGACAATGGGATTAAAGCTGAAAAGGACGGAGGGTTGAAATTAAAGAAGAGGTTTGGGAAATGGAGCAGGATCCAGATTCTGAGATGGGGGGAAAAGCAAATGCTTCGGATTCCAGTTGTCAAGTCTCTCGAACCTTAATACATTTCAGGTGTTGCATTGGCTTTCAAACCAACAGCAGCTGCAACCTCTAATTCAGGTTTAAAAGTTTGGGGTTTTTTTTCCTTCCAGGATAATCTCATCTTTTCTAGAGGATAAATAGAAGGGGAGCTTAGAGTTTCCCTCTTTGGAGTTGTTTTTTTTTTCTCTGAAAACTGATAGGAGTGGATGGAGGCGTTGGGTTTTATCACCTACTTATTTGGCCTAAACCCACCTTTGTTTCTGGTTTTCAGTTGTTTTACACTGCTCGGCCTTGACGCTGAGTCACATAAAATGGCTTTGGATATTATAACACAAAAGCAGGTCCTTGTATGTTTAGCATGACTGAAAAGTTACCCCATCTGTTCCCTCCCTCCCTCCCTCCCTCCCTTCCTCCCTTATTCTACTGCCCTTCCTCTCCTCCCTCCCTCCCACTGCCCCTCTCTCCTTCCTCCCTCCCTCCCTCCTTCCCTCCCTTCTACTGCCTCTGTTTCCTTCCTTTCTTCCTCCCTCCTACTGCCCCTCTCTCCTTCCTTCCTTCCACTCTCCTTCCCTCCCTTCAACTGCCCCTCTCTCCTTCCTTCCTCCCTCCCTCCTTCCCCTCTCCTTCCTTCCTCCTTCCCTCCCTTCTACTGCACCTCCCTTCCTTCCTCCCTCCTTCCCTCCCTTCTGCCTCTCCTTCCTTCCTTTCTTCTTCCCTCCCCCATTCTACTATACCCCTCCCTCCTCCTTTCCTCTCTCCCTTCTACTGCCTGTCTCCCTCCTTCCTTCCTTCCTCCCACTGCCCCTCTCCCCTTCCTCCCTCCCTTCTACTGCTTCTCCTTCCTTCCTCCACCTCCATTCTACTGCCCCTCCCTCCTCCCTCACTTCTGTCTCTCTCATTCCTCCCTCCCTCCCTTCTACTGCCTCTCCTTCCTTCCTTTTTTCCTCCCTCCTTCCCCCATTCTACTGCCCCTCCTCTCCCTCCCTCCTTTCCTCTCTCCCTTCTACTGCCTCTGTCTCTCTCCTTCCTTCCTCCCACTGCCCCTCTCCCTTTCCTCCCTCCCTTCTACTGCCTCTCCTTCCTTTCTCCACCTCCATTCTACTGCCCCTCCTCCCCTCCCTCCCTCCCTCCCTCCCTTCTACTGCCCCTCTTCTTCCTTCCTTCCTTCCCTCCTTCCCAGAGCTGAGAAGTGTGGCCTGAGAACAAGGACCTAGTTCGCCCACCACCCATTCCCAGTGGCATACTGAGGCATTGTGATGACCGAGCATTCATTGTCCAAGGACAGCAGCTTCCCACCCTTAAGAGCCCTGGCTCTTTGTAACCTCCGACACCCCCCCTTAAAAAAAAGAGACCAAACTTTTACATTTAAGATTGGAAATTAAAGAATCGGCAGGTGTTGCTTTTTTTAAAAGAGATTATGTTTCAAGGCTATCAATGAACCCATTTGTAACGCATCTGTTAGGAAAGAATCCAACAGTCAACCCAAGCGCTCAGTAAACCTATTAACTCTAACTATATCCAAGAAACAAGAGGCAATAAAATAAAAACACATTTAACTTGGGAAAACACCACGTTCAGCTAGCCCTTATAGCTCAGTAGCATGTTAAAACAACTTTTTTTCAGATCTGTGGACTTCAACTCCCAGAAACCTTCAGGATGCCGGCGGAGGAACGTCGGGAGTTGAAGTCCACACAGATCTTAGAACAAGTTGTTGGAAGTTGAGAAACACCGCAAAGAATTTGAAGAAGGATTGTCCCAAGCCGCAAATAACGAGAGGGGCCAAAGGATTTTGCTGCCCCAACGGTACTGGGAAGAGGTGCATATTTCTTTTCTTTCTTTTTTTTTAAGCATTTTTAATGCTAATCTTTAACCCAACAACGCCCGGTGCGTGCAGGTGTCTGGCGCAAAGAGCAAGCCAAGGTGACGGCTCTGCAAGGGAATCAGGTGTTTGGCCTCTGTTGCACCTCCGCCAGCAAGGCGCAGCTCCCGAGAGTGCACAGCTGCCGTTTCCCAGGCAAACGCGCAAGTTGTGGGGCTGCCAGCAAGCCCGGGCACGTATCCCTTCGCTGTTATAGACGCAACCCCGGGCGAGTCTCATTGCGTTTCAGCCCGGAGCAACCTGGCCCCGCGCCGGGATGGGTAGGGAGCGGAGATCCAAAGCATTTTTCAAAGCGTTGCTTTGCCCTAATCGATGTATTTGCATGTGTAATTAGCGGAGTCTCTCATTCTCAGGACGTAAAAGTAGCAGGACATAACAAGCTTTGCCTTCAGAAGTTGTGGGAGCTTCATCATTGGAAGCTTTCAAGAAGAGACTGGACTGCATCTGTCAGAAATGGTGGAGGGTCTCCTGCTTGGGGTGGGGGTGGGGGGGGAGGAGTTGGACTAGATGACTTACAAGGTCCCTTCTAACTCAACTCTTCTCTTCTATCTTCTCTTCTATCTTCTCTTCTCTTCATACATAGGTAGGATAGATAGATAGATGGATGGATGGATAGAGGTAGGGAGGGAGGGAGGGAGACAGAGAGAGAGAGAGAGATTGATATATAGTAGATAGATGATAGATATGGATGGACAGACAGACAGACAGACAGGTAGGGAGAGATAGATAGATAGATAGATAGATAGATAGATAGATAGATAAGATAGATAGATAGATATGGATAGATAGACAGACAGACAGACAGACATGATAGGGAGAGATAGATAGATAGATGATAGATGGATGGATAGAGGTAGGTAGGTAGGGAAACAGAGAGAGAGAGATTGATATATAGTAGATAGATGATAGATAGATATGGATGGATGGACAGACAGACAGACAGGGAGAGATAGATAGATAGATAGATAGATAGATAGATAGATAGATAGATAGATAGATAGATAGATATGGATAGATAGACAGACAGACAGACAGACAGACAGATAGATGATAGATAGATGGATGGATAGAGGTAGGTAGGTAGGGAAACAGAGAGAGAGAGATTGATATATAGTAGATAGATGATAGATAGATATGGATGGATGGACAGACAGACAGACAGACAGGGAGAGATAGATGATAGATAGATAGATAGATAGATAGATAGATAGATAGATAGATAGATGTGGATAGATAGACAGACAGACATGATAGGGAGAGATAGATAGGTAGGTAGGTAGGTAAGTAGGTAGATAGATGATAGGGATAGAGAGTGAGAGAGAGAGAGAGATGGAACAGCTTGCCTTCAGAAGCTGTGGGAGCTTCATTGCTGGAAGCTTTCAAGAAAAGATTGGACTGCTTATCTGTCAGAAATGGTGGAAGGGCTCCTGCTTGGGCGAGGGGGTTGCACTAGATGACCTCCAAGGTCCCTTCCAACTCTTTTGTTATTCTGTTCTGTTCCAGCGGAGGCTACCCACGCTCTGCGTTTAACGCAAAGAGAAGAGGGGGCTGGTTCTCGTGGGGAGCCCAGAGATGGGGAGCCCCTCCAAAGCTCCCACTGGGGAGTGGGGGTGGGGGGCTCCTGCTCCAGCCCACCCACCTTGGCTGTCTTGCCTCCATTAGAATAGAATAACAGAGTTGGAAGGGACCTTGGAGGTCTTCTAGTCCAACCCCCTGCTTAGGCAGGAAAGCCTCTTTTCTCCTTGGTCCATTTTTTTTTTGCGGGGGGGGGGCGGGCAAGTCCGACTCGGTTCGTCCGCTTTCCAGAACGAGCCTGGCGGGCTAAGAATGAAGAAAGCAGCGCCGGGCGCCGTTTTTTCTTTTTCTTTTTCTTTTTCTTTTTCTTTTTCTTTTTCTTTTTCTTTTTCTTTTTCTTTTTCTTTTTCTTTCTTTTCCTTTTCCTTTTCCTTTTCCTTTTCCTTTTCCTTTTCCTTTTCCTTTTCCTCCCTCCCTCCCTCCCTCCCTCCCTCCCTCTTTCTTTCTTTCTTTCTTTCTTTCTTTCTTTCTTTCTTTCTTTCTCTTTCTTTCTTTCTTTCTTTCTTTCTTTCTTTCTTTCTTTCTTTCTTCCTTCCTTCCTTCCTTCCTTCCTTCCTTCCTTCCTTCCTTCCTTCCTTCCTTCTTTCTTTCTTTCTTTTCCAAATCTCGGGACTTCCTGGCCGCTTGAGCCTGCAAGGACGAGCCTGCGGGGCTGCGGGGAGCCTCCCCTCCCGCGCCCAGCAACGAAGGTCTCCTCCTAATTGGCCCGCCAGCTTCACCCGGGGAGGGAAAACGGGAACGCCGTCAGAACTGGAACACCCAACACCGCCAGCCGCAGCAGCAGCAACAGCAGCAGCAGCAGCAGCGAAAAAGGGGCAAGGAAGGAGGCGCAAGGCACCGCGCGGCCCCCTTTTCCCCCGCGCCACCTCTTGGCTTGGCTGCCTTCCCGGCTTGGGCAGGGCGAGGAAGCCAGCCGGCCACCCTCGGCGGGGCGGGAGCCTCACCAGCCTTGCGGAGAGCGCTGGGGGTGGGTAGGTGGGGGGGTGGGAGGGGGCTCCAAGAGTCAAGACCCCCCCTTGGAAGGAGAAAGGCGGGGTAAAAGGCGCAGCGAGGCGCGCGTCCGCGGACCCTGCTTGCTTGCTTGCCTGCCTGTCTGCCTCCGGATCGGTGCAAACGGCCGAGGACGCGTGGCTGGGGGAAGAGGGGGGGGGGCTCGGAGGCGCTGCGGAGGCCGAACTCCGGTGCGCGGCGCCCCGCGGGTGCCAGCAACCGGCCCCTGAGCCCCGATGGAGACGGCGCCCTTCCCGCACCCGTTGGCTCCAGAGCCCGAACCAGGTCCCGGTTTTGGTCCGGTCCGGCCAGGCGGCGAGAAACGTTTCCGACTCTTTTACGTGGGTTGCACCAGTTTGGACCGCCGTGCCACGCTGCCCATGTTGCCTTGGCTGATGGCCGAAGTCCGGCGCCGGAGCCAGAAGCCAGAACCGGGCGCGGCACCGGCTCGGGAGGTGCTGCTGCTGCTGGGCTCGGCGCCCACCCTGCGCTGCGTGCCCTCTTCGCCCGGCGGCGCCCCCGGCTCGGCCGTCTTTATCTTCGAGCACAAAGCCCAGCACATCTCCCGCTTCGTCCACAACAGCCAGGACCTCACCTACTTCGCCTACCTGATCAAGGCGCAGCCCGACGACCCCGACTCGCCCGTCGCCTGCCACGTCTTCCGGGCTACCGACCCCAACCAGGTATGAGCTTGTGGGAGTTTGGGGGGTGGGGGAGAGATGGGTGGGCTTCCATCAGAGACGGGACCAGAAGCGTGGGGGGGGGGTGCCTTGAGGTCTTCTAGCACCACCCCCATCGTTTTCCAGACAAGGTTGTGGCCTTCTGATCTTTTCCCAATTTGTTTGTTTGTTGTTGTTTTTGGCATTGTTGGGGGAAGGTTGGGGGAAGAGAGGAACCGTGGCTGTTGTGGACAAGACCCCTCCCCACCCCAAGTTATAGGTGAGATGAGGACAGGGGTGGGATTCAAATTTCTTTCTTTCTTTCTTTCTTTCTTTCTTTCTTTCTTTCTTTCTTTTCTTTCTTTCTTTTCTTTCTTTCTTTCTTTCTTTCTTTCTCTTTCTTCCTTCCTTCCTTCCTTCCTTCCTTCCTTTCTTCCTTCCTTCCTTCCTTCTTTCTTTCTTTCTTTCTTTTTTCTTTCTTTCTTTCCTTCTTTCCTTCCTTCTTTCTTTCTTTCTTTCTTTCTTTTTTAAATTTGATTTATATGCCGCCCTTCTCCGGAGACTCAGGGCGGCTTACAATGCGTTAAGCAATAGCCTTCATCCTTTTGTATATTTTATACAAAGTCAGCTTATTGCCCCCACAAACTGGGTCCTCATTTAACCTACCTTAGAAAGGATGGAAGGCTGAGTCAACCTTGAGCCTTGGAGAGATTCGAACCTGCAGTAATTGCAGGCAGCTGTGTTAATGACAGGGTGCTTTAGACCACTGTACTACCAAGGCCCTTTCTTTCTTTCTTTCTTTCTTTTCTTTCTTTCTTTCTTTCTTTCTTTCTTTTTTCCTTCCTTCCTTCCTTCCTTCCTTCCTTCCTCCTTCTTCCTTCCTTCTTCTTTCTCTCTTTCTTTCTTTCTTTCTTTCTTTCTTTCTTTCTTTCTTTCTTTCTTTCTTTCTTTCTTTCTTTCTTTCATGTATTTATATGCCGCCTTTCTCCCAAAGGACTCAGGGCGGCGAACACAAGTTAAAAAGCATGCAACAATAAAATCCCCTTAAAACCAAATAAGTAATAAATAATAAAATATTAAAACCCAGAATCGTAGTCAGCCCATTTGTTTGAACAGCCAAGTCTTCAGGTCATGACGGAAGGAGCGGAGATCAGAGCCATACAGAGCTCCGGTAGGTAACTCATTCCAGAGTGTGGGAGCGCACACAGAGAACGCCCTCCCCCTAGACGTTGACATATAATTTAACAACCGGTTCTCTGCCTTAATGATTTCTTCCAACAAACTGCTCAGAAAGGTATCAACCGGTTCTCCCGAAGTGGTGCGAACTGGCTGAATCCCATCACTGGATGAGGAGACGTGAAGGTGGGCTACTAATCCCAGATGGGTGTGCGGGCTTAGATAGCAGGATGACCTGGATGTGGAGTCTTGGCCAACTGTGGCTGATTCCCCCTGTGGTGTCTGTGTGTGTGAGAGAGAGAGTGTGTGGGGGAAGGAGGGAGTGTGTGGGGGAGTGAGGGAGCGAAGGAGAGGGGATTGCCCTTGAATGGAGAAAGCAGGAGTTCCAAGGCCTCTAGGCCAGGGGTTTCCAACCTTGACAACTTTACGCCTTGTGGACTCCCAGAATTCCTCAGCCAGCATCTGGGAGTTGAAGTCCACAAGGCGTAAAGTTGCCAAGGTTGGAGATCCCTGCTCTAGGCTAGATGGGAACATGGCAAAACCTTACTGGAAGAAGGCAGGGGAAACTATCTTGAACCGTTGCCCAGAAGGTTGTATGCATGCATATCCATGTGATCCCTGGAATCAGGCACGCTTGAGGGAGGTGCCTTGAACAAGGTAGGAACCTCCTGTGGCCTCTTTAACCTGCTGGATGAGCAGGAAGGCAGAGGGGATGGCAGATCCAGTTGAGCTTGGTTGAGTGGCTTCACACTTGGGTATCATTTTTGCGCTAGTCTGACTCAGACTGCAACTCCCCTTCCTCAAACTGAAGTATGACTGGGCTTCTGATCACTCTTGCTTGCCTGTAACTCTGAGCTTGAGAACCATGGAGGCACCTTCTGATATAGGAACCTTTTGGTTTTCGGGCCGAGTATCCCAACTTTAGCGGCATACTAAAAAGCACAGTATACTAAAAAGCAGAGACATCGCCCTGCCAACAAAAGTGTGTATAGTCAAGGCTATGGTTTTCCTAGTTGCAATGTATGGCTGTGAAAGTTGGACCATAAGGAAGACTGAGCACCAAAGAATTGAGGCCTTTGAACTATTGTGCTGGAGAAGACTCCTGCGAGTCCCTTGGACTGCAAGGCGATCAAACAGGTCAGTCCTAGAGGAGATCAACCCTGACTGCTTTTTAGAAGGCCAGATCCTGAAGATGAAACTCAAATACTTTGGCCACCTATTGAGAAGGAAGGACTCACTGGGGAAGAGCCTAATGCTGGGAAAGATTGGGGGCAAAAGAAGAAGGGGACAACAGAGAACGAGGTGGCTGGATGGAGTCACTGAAGCAGTAGGCGTGAGCGTAAATGGACTCCAGAGGATGGTAGAGGACAGGAAGGCCTGGAGGAATGGGGTTGCGATGGGTCGGACGCGACTTTGCAACTAACAACAACAATCCCAACTTGCTGGCATGTCAGATCTTCCTTCCCGTAGAAGCCCTCACATGCCAGGAGCTTAGTGAACTTTGTTGAAGGAGAACCAGCTTGGATTGGAACTGAGATGTTTTGGTCCTTTCTCCTGGCTGAGCCTATGAAAGATGCCTTGCGTTAGAATTATCTCCTAAACCAGAGAATCCTTGGGATGCTGTTGACAGATTAACAGAGTTGGAAGGAACCTTGTAGGTCGTCTAGTCCAACTCCCCGCTCAAGCAGGAGACCCTACACCATTTCTGACAGATGGCAGTCCATCTCTTCTTGAAAGCTTCTGATCTTTTAGCTTCCCAATTTGTTTTTTTCTGGCTAGCATCCCTCAACTTCAACTTCTGAAGCCACCTTCAACTTCTGAAAGCAAATTGTTTCTTTGATTGATTGTTCTTACTGTCAGAAAATTTCTCCTTACTTCTAGGCTGAATCTCTCCTTGATCAGTTTCCATCCATTATTCCTTGTCTGACCTTCAGGTGCCTTGGAAAAATAGCTTGACCCCCTGTTCTTTGTGGCAGCCCCTCAAATATTGGAACACTGCTATCATGTCTCCCCTGGTTTCCTTAGAGAAGCAGAAAGGAGCTGCATCTTGGAACAGACTGAGAAGGATGTCTCAATTGTGTTTTAGAGGTGGCCTCTGCATATATTCAAATAAAATAAATACAGAATAACAGAGTTGGAGGTCTTCTAGTCTAACGCTCAGGCAGGGAACCCTATACTACTTCAGACAAATGTTTGTCCAATCTCCCAGTTCCTGCAATCATTTTTCGTATGTTTTATCCTCAGGTCCCTTAATCATCTTTGCTGCTCTTCTCTGCATTCTTTCTAGAGTCTCAACAATTTTTTAACATCGTGGTGACCAAAATTGGATGCAATATTCCAACACTGGTTCCACAGGTCCATCCGTCCATTAGTGTCCTGGTCTGTTAAGAGCAAGATGGTGGCATTCCCTCTCTGTGATCACTTTCAGGATCTGTTTGCTGCTCAGGGTTATGTGAAGAAAGAAAGGCAGATGGGAGGAGAGATGGGTTTGGGGAGTGGCTTTTTTTTAATGACTTGAGGAAAACAGCTGAGTTTCAGCCTTCTGACATGGAGGCATTGCAGGAGAAGCAGGCTAAGATCCTTATTCTCTTTCTGGAATAAAATTAGACATGTGAACTGGGTGAGTGTAGAAAGGAATCTCTTGCCTTCCCTTTTCTCATAAGTTGCAGAGAACCCACAGTTAAGAGCTCCGAGAGAGAGAGAAAGAGAGAGAGAGAGAGAGACAGAGACAGAGACAGAGACAGAGACAGAGACAGAGACAGACACACACACACACACACACACACACAGAGAGAGACAGACAGACACAGAGACACAGACACAGACACACACACACAGAGAGACACACACAGAGAGAGACAGAGAGAGACAGAGAGACAGACAGAGAGACACACAGAGAGAGAGACACAGACCGACAGAGACAGAGACACAGAGAGAGACAGACAGACAGACACACACACACACACACACACACACACACAGAGAGAGAGAGAGAGAGAGAGAGAGAGACAGACAGACAGACACAGACACACACAGACACACACACACACACACACACACACACACACACAGAGATGGAAAAATATTCTGGGGAAGAATTCAAGTTGCCCTCAAATGCTTCTGTATCCCAAAATATCACTTCCTTTTTTCCCTGCTTCCTTGATAAAGTCCTTTAATAGCACACCAGGCCTTTCTACTTGAGGAAGAACCTGTATTTAGGATAGAGGAATTTGCCTTCGGGGCTAATGAAATGCATATCCATGTGTCTCACCAATTCCCCAGAAAAGAGGCATGAAAGTTCAGCAGCGTGTGACAAGAGGCAAGAGGTACAAGGGTGAGACTCTTGATCTTTTCTTTTTGCACAAGCGTGTGAAACCACCGATGGTCATATAGTCTTGGAAACCTGGGATTTACTTATTTCCACCAGAAAAATTCTGAACCAGCTGTTGAATGAAAAGAAAGACTAAGGGGGTGACATGATAGCAATCTTCCAAAATCTCAGGGGCTGCCAAAGAGAAGAGGGGGATCAATCTATTCTCCAAAGCACCTGAAAGCAGGAGAAGAAATAATGGATGAAAACTAACTAAGGAGAGAAGCAACATAGAACTAAGAAGAAATTTCCTGATAGTGAGAACAATCAATCAGTGGAATGACTTGCTTCCAGAAGCTGTGAATGCTCCAACACTGGAGGTTTATATGAAGAGATTGGTTGGTCATTTGTACAGAATAATATAGGGCAGGGGTGTCAAACTCAACATGCACGGGCCAGATTCGGCCTACCGGGTGCTTAAATCTGGGCCGGCTTGGAAACAGGGAAGGACTGGCCCACAGTGCCTCTGCTGGCCAAA